CCTCCGACTTGCCAAAGAATTAACAGCAGGCCCACAGTGCTTTGAGAAGATAAGAATTCCAATTTATTTGATTATTACAAAACCCAGTCAATTTACCTCACTAGATAATTCCACGGTATGTATGCCAATATAGTGTGCAAATAATGACCTTGTACCTTCTTAAAAGAAAGGAACGATAGACCTCTGGGGATTTATACTAAGAACAATGCCAAAACACCATTTGAGGACCGATTGAAGACCAGTAGGAAAATTACATTCTTATTTGTTAAGTTCGACCAGAAGTTTTTTAAAAATAAACTTAAAAGCATCGACGAGCTGAATTGATTAAGCCATACAAGCAAAACAGATTTTTTCACTTATTCATACTATCGATTAAAATTGATTTTATGACTTGGTTTTTAGTCATAACTCATAAGAGCACTCAATTTAGTAAGTAAGTTCTTGGAAGTATAGCCAAATTAAGAATATTTATATTAACATTTTGACTGCCTCCCCCCATTTCCCCCAAAATTTAAAAACTTATTTTTAAAGCTAGAGCATTTTGATTTGGTATATAAACATGTTAATGCCCTATTAATATGCTCAAGCGAAAGAAGCAGCGCTACCGCTGCGTTAGTAGCGCAGTTAGCGTATTGTACAAAAATGCATCTTCAAGAACCTGCATAATTATTTATTATTATTATTTATTAATTTAAATTTGACTTTATTTTATGGTTTACAGAATTAAAATTCCTATAAACCAAAATATTATATTGAGTGAAGTGCATACGCAATTTTATACTCCATGACACTTGACTATGAAGTTCTTAATTGGTTTTTTCTTATCCTGTAAAATGTAGTATTATACTATAAAATATATATCAGCATTTTGGTCCGTCTTGCAGTCGAATTGTACTTTCGTTTGAAAAGCAATTTTTTTCGCCGATAAATTATATATGTACATGGACACATATAAATTGTAGAAAATCGTAATCTATACATAGAATAGGATTCCCTGGTTAAATGACACTGACATCGCACAATCCAAACCGTAAGAGCTAGGAAGCTAAATTTCACCCTGCGGTTACCACCTTAGCCGAATTTATTCAGCAGGGGAAAATTTGTGGTTATGGTTATATGAAACATTTTTATTTATCATCCGATCGGATTTTAAACTCATTTTTGAGGAACTTTGTGAAAATTCATTGGATACATGTTTTACACGTTAAAGAACAATCGACCGCCCTGTGTGAAAAAGGACGAAAAAAAAATAAATTCTCATACAACTCAGTAAACTTTGAATTAAATTTAGAAAACGTTCCACCTTTTCTCTGTACTCTAATCAATTCCAATTGTTTTTTTTTTAATTTTATTTGTAATTGTTTATAGCTTTCCGATTCCTTGCTCCGATAAGAATATTCTTGTATGCATAAGAAAACTATAAGAATTAAGTGCGATTCGAAAACGGGTACAGGGTATCGCCTACTCGTGCACACTCAACTATTGCATTCTTGATATTCTAGATGTATTCTGATTTCAATGTCTCAATTTGAGTGTGAGCCAAAAGTTTCCTACCATATGCCGCGACACTTGCAGAGCTCAACATCATCCGAATGATTACCAGGGAAAATACGAAATGAAAAATTTGCATTCTGTGTTGCCTTCTCTATCTCTCAACGCAATAAATAATATTCTCTGGCACTGTCGTCGGCGAGACCTCTCATTTTCATGGCTCGTGTAGTGGATGACACACCGAGTGGTGAGCAAAGAGTTGACGTCGACGATGTGGCGAGAAAAGATTCAATATATTGATACATTCATTCATTTGAGTTTTAGTTTTAGTCAACAACAAATTGTGCGAGTAGCAACGACAGCCGACGACAATAACAATCAAATAAGTATATTTCATATACATATGTAGCAACTTGGTTTTGCGAAGTGGTTTTTTCGTGTTTCAAACCTCAGCAAAAGTCTTTCGACAACATAGCTCAACAATTTCGACAATTTTTGTGTTTTCTTTAATTTTAGCAACACAGTTGCATGTTTTTTTACCATTGTTTTATTTTATTAATTCAATTTCGAAAGTTTGAGTACTGAAATTTCACTGGTAAGCTTCATGTTTGTTAAATGAATAGATAATTTCAATATCTGGCATTTTGAAAATAGAATTCACTTGCGGAATATATAAAATAAATTTCTTATAATGGTCACACAACGGTGCTTTATAACAACTAAACCTTCTGTTAAACGTTTTAATGGGAGCTATTAAACTTTGATGTATTTCTCAAATGTAAGGACCACAATGAACCTTGTAATTTTTGAGTTTGGCCAAGTTGTCTAAAATAACAAACTAAACAAAACTCAACTTTCGACCAATAGTTCTCAAGAGAGTCTTCCGATCCTGGTAAATCAAAAAATAAAGAGCCCACAGCAAAAACATGGATTCATGAAAATTCTTAAGTTTGTCCCAAAAGGAGAAATTGTTTTAAAGGGAAATAACTATGAACCAATTATGTCATAAAAACAATTCAATTGTGCAATCTTTTTTCCTGGAATCCATTAAAAGGGGCACCGCTGTCATTTAATCCCTGAACATTTGATTTAAAACAGAATTGATCGATGTATCCAATAGGTGAAGCTACTTTCCGAGTTGAAATTTTCTAACTTTTACAGTCTACTACAAATGATAAGAACAAATGTGCAACCTTGAAAACACACACATTTGAAAGATGTTAATTGATACTCAACGCATGAAATTTAATTTTTATTTGGACCCTAAGGTCAACAAAATTGGTTCATACTTAAATAAAAGTGTATTAATTTTAATGAAGAATATATTGAAAGATAACGCAATTATCGATGACAAGCGAGTATAAGTACTATTGTCGAGAGAGTACTGATCGGCTCTGTAAAATACTATTAGTATCTATCTTAAAATACATTTATAAATACACAAAAATATACAAAAGCAAACATGCTGTATATTTTAGACAGTGACTGTGCTGTTTCACGGCCCACTAAGGAAAAAATGTATTTATATAGCTTCTCTGAGTTTATTGTCCGATCATTATAAAAAGGCTGAGCAAAAACAGATAAATAAAAAAACTTTGCTATTTTTGGAGTTTTAGATATAGCCTAATAACCCGGCACATTTGATGCACATGTAAGACCGTAAAAATAGCCCATATTGTGCTGCTGCGTAATGTTTTCGATTCAATTTTCACAATTGGCGTACATACAAAAGCAATTTGAGAATAGGTAGACGCAATTCACCAATTCAAACTTGCGAATATGTAGTCTCATTGCAGAAATTGTAAAAGAATCGCCTCCAACACATATTAATTTAGAAATATTATAAAGATAAAACTGCACGTACAAATTAAAGAAAGATTAACAAATAAGATATTTTTTTCCGAAAATGTAATTTACTTACTTTTGAACAGCGGCCAAATACGCAATGTATCTGGGCATTCTAACAAAAAACAAAGTTTAAAATCTAGAAATAAAGCTAAAAAAAATTTAGGCTGGTTGCTTTTATGCAAACCCGATTGAATGTAACACTATAAACATACAACTAAAAACACTTTTTTGTTTGCTTATTGACAATTAAAACATGTTAATACCCGCAATCAATAAGCTGACTCACTGCGTGCCGAAGCTCTCTGTTTTAAAACTATCGTGTTTTTGCTGTCGGCAGTACATCTGCCATAGAAATGATCGTTCAAAAATAAAATTTTGTATTTTCTGAACCCGTTGAAAATGAGTAAAAAGGGTATTATGGTTGTGTGCAAATGTACGTAACAGGCAGAAAAGCATCTCATAGATTATATATATTCTTGATCAGCATCAATAGCCAAGTCGATATAGCTATGTCCGCCCATCTGTACGGCCGTATGTATGAGCGCGTCGATCTCAGAACCTATAAGAGCTATAGATTCGGAATTTTAAACGTAGGTCTTCCGAGTCCCGCCCAGTACAAGTTTGCTTAAGATAATCAATAACTGACACGTTTCAAAAAAATCGATAAAAATCAATATCGAAAACCTGTTTTTTCAGCCAATATCTTCATGTAGCTTCGATGGGATGGGACAGCTAGAAGAAAAATTGGTAGCCATTCATTTTCTGCAGATCAGGATAAGCGTCGACTTCGGTTTTGTTTGGATGCAAAAACTGGAAATTCAGAAATTCTAAAAACTTGGCAAATTTGCAGCCCCCCAGTACCACACAATAGGAAATACGTTCGTGATTAACTTCACGCTTTATTGTCAGGTTTTGTAAAATGTGCAAGGCCTACGGTTGGCATCTAAATGTGTGTAAAAACTATAGCCCAAGACAATACCTTTTAAAATGTTTTATTTTTTATTTTTGGGCAACCGGGGGAGTGTCCAAAAATTAAATATTTTGGTTCTGTGTCCACCAGGGAGTCTACATACCAAATTAAGTGTCTTTAGCTCGTACCACCTCTGAAATATGCTCAAAAATATTATCTGAAATATTATACAAACGGGAAAAATTATTAATGCTGTGAAACAATCTCGTGCGGGCACTAGTAGGACCTTCTTTCAAAATTTTTCTAGCTCTTTTGAGATCGGCGCGTTCATACATACGGATGGACGACAGACGGGAGGACAAAATAGTTTTTCATACAGCTTTATTCTTCACCGATCGTTCCAATGGCAGCTGTATGATTTCGTCGTCTGATGTTAATGAGCTTTCGCTTATAAGTATGTAAGGACCGTAGTGGTTAAGATATCTTAATAAACAACATTTTTAAGACAGATAAGTTCTTATTCTCTTTAGAAACATTTTAAAAAATATGACAGTCAGATTATGTTAAGGTCAGATTAATATATGCTGGATAGGAACTATATTTGCAAGGGTACTAGCTAAGAGGCTTCGTAAAAACGATTGCAGTTGCTTGTGAAAAACAACAAGTGCAAAAGTACTTGAACATATGAAACCTTAAGAACTTAAGTATATTTATATTATGCATACTGTTTAAATAATTTTTATTTTAACAGGCTTCTTAGGCAATCTTCTGTCGAAAGGCCTGAAAACCAATCAATTGGTTGTTAATACCGATGAAAAAACATTGAGACCAATTGCACGATTGAAGGAACCGCGGGATTTATTCGCCCTGCCCAAGGAAAAGGATAATGATTGCTCACAGCAGGCCCCCAGATGGCCTGTTGAATGCCAGGTGAGCTATCGAAGAATATTTATCCATTCACAGTATCTAACAGGTAAAAGTTTCGAACTTAATACTTTTAACTAGCTGCTTAAAAGTAAATATTGATTATTTTTATAAGTAAAGGTAGAAAAATAAAAATGTGAGCAGCTCGTCTTTAAAGGCATTTTAAGAACCTTTCAGATCCATCACTAGCAAGTTTCGCTAACTAATAAACACCTTACCAGTTCGGAGCTTAACACGACTTGCAAAGCGAGCAAACCCGCAATCCAACTTCCACCTTTTGTTTGTACCAGGTTTTTTCTAGAATGCTGTTATTATGCCGCGTCTAGGTCCGCAGCCTCGTCTAAAAATCTTTCAAGGTTAATATTAATATATTAATATTAATTAACAATTATGATATAATGCTTAATACCATACATAGGTTTTTTTATACAGACCCTTATTAGTTTCATTTTTCCTACCTATGTATGTATATAGTAAATACTTAATGTATAACACTGTCTGTGGCGGTAAGCTGAATACATAATATACATTTAACATTTTTTGTTTAACTTTGGGAAATATAAAAGTAAAATAATCGGATTTCAATATTACTTTTTCTGGCCCTAATAATCTCAGGGATTTACTCAAAAAACCGTGACTATTAGTCGATATTTATCAATTTCAGGAAAAGCTATCGATTGGTTTAAATAAGCTTGCATGAAAATAGTGAAAGTAGGTCAAAAAAGGTAGTCAAAATATTTCAGATATTCTGTAACACTAACATATAATGTGAGTGGCGTTGTCACGCCAAGGCAAACCTGGATACAGACAGAGATGGACCCGAGTCGGGTTTCTAACATGAACCACAATTTGGAAACTCCCACGCAAGTAACTTATGGAAATTTATCGTATCCAATCTTGCTTGAAGCGCGCTTAAAATAAGTTATCAATTTAATTTATACTTTAATAATATCAAAATTATAAAATACTAACAGCCTGCCTCGGCTTCGCACGGGTTAATAGGAGCAGTGGATCAGAGTGAACACTTACTGCCGAAATATTTTGGAAAATACAGATACTGATCGATAAAGTAGCTAAATGATATAGTGCGCCGACCCGGCCAGTTCCGACACATATATAAATAACAAGTTAGAGTGCTCCAGTCAGGAGTGCCCTTCATCTACAAACACCATGTGAGGCTCGCGCTACGCTCTCGTTTGCCTTAATATTAGTAAAAATATATTTGAAAAAAAACATGTATTCGCTGTGACTCTGTTGAGCTCGTAACTACCTTTAACCGACCGAACTGCTTGCGTCGCCTCAAACCTCATAGCCATACCAGAAATGACATTTAACGAACAAAGATAGCTATAAAATAAAAGATAAGTGATCTGTATATACTATTCTAGAAGCAAAATAAGATAACTCTAGCTATCAAAACCTTAGAGATTTGCTTAAAAAACAGGTATCGAAACGTATTCTGCTTGAAAAGGGAAAGTTGTCGAAAACGAACTCGAACTGTGCAGGCACTAAACCTATGTTAAAAGTTCAAGTGTATTGGACGGATATGGTTAGATCTACACGGCTATTGATGCTGATCAAGAATATATGTACTTTATACTTTTTTTCTTTGACGTGAAAAATCATGATTTGTTTTCAATTAAAACTATAAATGTATTCATAACTTCATTAATCTTACATATGTAATTTCGAAGATGCTATTTTTTTAATGGCGGCTATATGGTTTGCCTGCAAAAAAGACGTACCTATATAAAGTTTAATGGTGGCAGATTTATAAAAGAATAGATTTTTCATGGAAACAGACGAACATGGCTACATGCAAATCAGTCAAGCCGTGTTCAAGGAATGGTCGACCATATATTGTTTTCATTAATTTTATACATAGAAGCTTTTCGTATTGAAACATGCGTATTCGTGTATCGAAACAAAAAAGATGAACCTGCTCCTAATTTTAGTACAGGTTACCGTAGTCATAAACTTTCAACTTGAACACCCTCATTTGATGTAACCGCGTATTCTAGATCTTAAATGCCAAACTGTTTTGTAAATCATGAAAAAATTCCTTCGCAGGTCATTGGGGAGCGTATTATACACATTCCTTACGTGCCAGCGCAGCCTGAACCGCTTAATGTGCCCACGGGTAATGAGCTAAAGCCACGTCCAGTTGGCGAGGAGAATGGCATTGTTGTATTTTCCTATTGTCCTATAAGTGCTGTAAACTATGTGAGTACTTCATCATATGTCGTGATACTTTTAAATATGCACCGCCGGCACATTTACTCACAACAAATTTGGGAGGGCTGCAAAAAGATTGGGGTTTTGGTGTAGCGATAACTATTGGGATACTATCCTACTTAAATTGATTTTCAACAACATAACAGGGGAGCCCAAATACGAAAACTAAGACAGAGGATAAGTCAAGCGAAGATTCAGATGACTCTTCGGATTCCAGGAACGAATTCATACCTCTCAGTCGGAGGCTGACGCTTCATTCAGGCAAAAATCAGCTGAACAGCGTGTCTAGCCTATTAAATAGGCTAGGTGACATCTCGACAAGCAACTCTCAGGACGATGACGATGACTGCAATACAAGTGGAGATGGTAAGGAGTCCCAAGAGAAAACAGACTTCCAATGTCTCATCGATTCGAAGAACAAACTGTTCGGTACTGCAACGTATGGTACAGACTCCAGCAAATTAACTATTAAAGACAACACTGGGATCAGCGATACTTGGAAGAACAATAGCATTGAGTACAAGCCCGCCTCGCCGCACTACGTGCTTAGTCAGTTTGGCAAAAAAGTTTCTAAGGGGATAATTGAGAAGATTATCGATTACGACGAAAATCCCTTAACTGGCACAGGCAGCTCCACCTCAAGCAAGGTACAAAATAAATATGCAGTTACCCCCTTTAAACTACCCAAAACAAACATTTCGCGTTTGGAGGTTGCTTTCCAAAGCAGTTCACATCAATCTTATAATGATAAGACTTCAATATCGCGCAAGAGTAACAAGGTCGGTGACACGGACGAGGACAGCGACGACGATTGCAGTACAGACATTGCTAAGGACGAGCCAAAAGTTTCCGTTAGTCGTTTGGCCGGTGGCGCTGATAAGCGTCCAAGTACCAGTTCTAGCTCTGTATCGGATACAGAAACGCTAGTCGGAGGAGAAAGCATGTGCAGGCTAGCATGTAATGATCAATGAAAATTCAAATTAGACATCAGTACGAGTCAAAATCTCAATCTCTTTGAGCCTCGCAATATTATGTTTATGGTATGAAGTTTTGACAGGATAGATTTATTTTAAAAATCTTATAGATAGATATAGGTACAAATCTTAATTCAAAATTCGTTCAACAAATTTTTTTCAGTCATGACGTGGTGGGCGTCAACAAAAAAAAATGATAGACAAACAGATTTAAGACTACCATAACTGTAAAATTATCGGTGACCACAAACATAATAGGTTTTGAGAAATTGTGATTAATGAGAACAATTCACAAATTGTGTTGTGTTTGAGTCTGAGTATTTAACTCGCGCTGTGATCTAATTTTACTTTAAAAACAATTAAAACAGTAAAATACACTCTCTACCCCCAGCAGCCACCGATGATAGAAAGCTAAAGCCATTTCCTTCGGTTCCAATACCAATTTGCACAAGAACCGTGAGCATGGCGGCAGCAGTTGCAGCTGTCGCAAGGGGGCGTCGTCGAGGCTTTGAATCAATTCCAAACGATATTGGGGTAACGCATATAAGTACTAGCACCAATACTAGCACTTATGAACAAGTTAACGATAAACCCAGTTCAGAGAATAATTTTAATGAACGGGCATCTTTTCAATCTCAACCTCTTCCCTATGATATTCCCCAAATCCAGTTCAGTCGTTCGTCGGTTGGCGGCGCAAAATACATGACGAACTGCCATCCCATGAACGCAGACGAGTCTGATAGTCTGGAGTTTGAGTCGCGCTTCGAGTCCGGAAATTTGGCTAAGGCAGTGCAAATCACGCCCACCTACTATGAGCTCTACCTACGTCCCGATCTATATACAAGTCGTTCCAAGCAGTGGTTCTACTTTCGCGTTCGACGCACTCGCCGTAACATGCTTTATCGCTTCTCCATTGTCAATCTGGTGAAGTCGGATAGCCTTTACAACGATGGAATGCGACCAGTCATGTACTCTAATTTGGGTGCTAAAGATAAAAACGAAGGCTGGAGAAGATGTGGCAATAATATTTCATATTATCGTAATGATGATGAGTAAGTGGGGGCACTTTCCCTTAATATAACGATTTAAAGACAAATTCTAAATTTCACCGCAGAAGCAACAACAATACTAATGAAGAGGATGAAGATAACTCGAGTTACACACTGACCTTTACAATTGAGTTTGAGCACGATGATGATACGGTGTACTTTGCCCATAGCTACCCGTACACCTACAGCGACTTGCAGGACTATTTGATGGAAATACAGCGTCATCCCGTAAAATCAAAATTTTGTAAGCTGCGTCTTCTCTGCCGCACACTAGCTGGAAATAATGTGTATTATCTAACCGTTACGGCACCATCCAATAATGAGGACAACATTAGGGTAAGTCACTGTAAAAGTAGCAGCTTGTTTAAAAGTGCGTTTATATTATATTACCAGCGTAAAAAATCAATTGTGGTATCGGCACGAGTGCATCCCAGCGAGACGCCATCGTCATGGATGATGAAGGGTCTGATGGACTTTATAACTGGTGATTCTACAGTAGCTAAGCGCCTACGCCACAAGTTTATCTTCAAACTGGTACCCATGTTGAATCCGGATGGAGTCATCGTAGGTAACACTCGCAACTCGCTAACGGGCAAGGATTTGAATCGTCAATATCGGACAGTTATAAGAGAGACTTATCCATCTATTTGGTATACAAAAGCCATGATTAGAAGGTAGGTGAAGGATCAACTTAACCTAACAATCCTGATCTACATTTTAAACATCTTTAGACTGATTGAGGAATGTGGAGTAGCCATGTACTGTGATATGCACGCACATTCACGCAAACATAATATATTTATATATGGCTGCGAAAACAAGCGTAACCCAGAGAAGCGGCTTACCGAGCAAGTTTTTCCGTTAATGCTGCACAAAAACAGCGCCGATCGGGTATGTCTGATGTTTCTTGTCAGTTGAGTTCTTTCTTTGTGAATCTAAATATTTTCTTCATCAGTTCTCGTTTGAGAGCTGTAAGTTTAAGATACAACGGAGCAAGGAAGGGACAGGACGCATTGTTGTTTGGATGCTGGGCATCACGAACAGCTACACAATTGAGGCCTCTTTTGGCGGCTCTTCGTTGGGCTCGCGTAAAGGCACCCACTTTAACACACAGGTAAGATTTTGGTGAGATCCATTGTAGAGCAAAAAATAGTTGATTTCATTTTTCAGGATTATGAGCATATGGGGCGCGCATTTTGTGAGACTTTATTGGACTACTGTGATGAAAACCCGAACAAAGTAAAACGACATGCCAAATTATTTAAGCAAATCAAAAAGATAAGAAAACGCGAGAAACGCGAACAGAAAGCATTGAAATTACAAAAAATGGCCGATCAGGGATGTATTATAAGCAAATTAAAAGTCAAACGTTCTGTGGAGAGAAGTGTCTCCTAGGAATGTCTTTTACTCACTACACGTATGCATAGTCACACATCCCAAAACATACCGCAGTCAACCGCTTTTTATTAAATTGGTAAAAATATGTAATTGTGTTGTAATTGTGTTGCTGTTGTGCTGATTATTCCCGACACAACATTATGTAAACAAAATTGAGAAGATACTACGCGAGTAAAGCAATGGCTTAAACCAGAGACTTATTTCCATCTAAAAATGAGTTATGTTGCCAAATTATGAATTTGAATGCTATCTATCGCTAATCGCCGTTTTTAATATTTTATTGAACTCACTGATTAAAAGTTACCATATATATATACTTTATTATAAGCACACAGCACCGACAGGCACATAAGTCATACTACTCAATGTTTTATTTCATATATAAATTAAGTAGTATTGTTGTAGCTCGCAAATAACTTGCAGTACACTGTAAAAATATTTGTCTAAATAAAACAATTGACGTAGTTAGACGCTATTTTATATTTGTATGTTTTCAGCTAGCTTTACAAACTATATCAAAACTTATTAATTTTAAATTTACATAATGTTTACATTCCTTTATTTCGGCTTTTTTTATATTTTCACTAATCCTAATGCATTAACATTTACAATAGATTTTAAATTTACTCAAACAACAGGAAAGACTACGCTCTAAAATAATCGAAAGACTGATGCGCGAAGGCTCAAGCGCCGACGAACCATTAAACATACCGCTATCCGATTACTCAAGGTAGGTATGGTTTCCCTACAATATCAGCATAGGCAGCTGATATTAAAACATATATGCGAGCACGTATGTAAGTCGGCCTAAATCAGAGGTTTTTTAACTTATTTAGTCTACACCTACACATTGCATTCTTGACTAACTTTTATAGTCAGATGTTTATCGGATGCAAAAGTGTATTTACCTAAATAAGTTTCTCTGGTTTTGTAGGGAATGGGGGAGGATGTGACCTGAAAGTTAAAAATTTGTACATGGGTTAAGGGGTTTAATGATTTTTTTTTTGCAAATTTATGTAACACTGTAGATAAACCAAAGACAATATAAACACTAACATGAGTATCGCCATACAACAAAATGCTTCTATGCAGCTTGCTTTTTTGAAATTTGAGAACGAAAACGAAATCAGTATCATTGCGCTCTCACAGCCGAAAAAGCGAAAAGTTAAAAATAGAATGTATTCTGCGCTTCGGCTCTATGAGAGCCATGCAAGCAATTATGTTTGTATGTGTGTTAGTATACATACATATCAGCATATTTGAATGTGTTGTTATTCACAGCTCTGGCTTTAGCTGGCAAAGTAATCAATTTTGTTAGTTTTCTAGCGCTGATCATGCACCTATCCTAAATTTGTATTCACATACGAATGCATGCTGTGTACTTTTTAAAGTAGTCGCAAATATTTACATTCTTTAAATTAAATCATTAATTATTTATTATTATTTTTATGTTATTAAAAACTAAGAGTGCCAAAAAAATCAAATAGGGTAAATTAAATACGTCGGTAGCTAGTTCGACCGGCGGAGTAAAAAATAATTTCAACAAAAAAAAAATTGATAAAATTAATTTTTGGAAACACACAATTTGCGCTCTAATTTCATTGCTTTATTTCTTGAAAATTATAATAATTTAATTAATAAGTTAATTTAGAATTTATATAAATATTCGCATCGATTTTCAAAACCTCAGTACACAACATGCATTCATTTGTGAATACAAATTTGAATAGGTCGTGCATGATCAGCGCTAAAAAACAAAATTTATTTCTTCACCACCCAAAGCAAAGGCAGTGAATAACAACACATATACATATACATATTTTGATATAGTTATGCATGCATAATTCACACATACAAACATAGGTGCTTGCACGCCATTGGCTGAACAAGAACTTCTCTCGAGCATACACTGTCCAAATACAAAATTGAAATAAATCTATGTGTGATATTTTCTTAACATAGTTATTGCACAAGTTGCGCCTTGTAAAAAAATTATTTTATTCTTAAATTTTCCTGTAAAGTTAATCGTTAGTATCTAGGGTAATGTATCATTTAAATAAAGCATGCATTTCATGGATAAAGCCAAAGTACTTTGCGTCGATCGTAAGTTTAAAACTTTTCGCTCAATGTACTTCGAAAACGAAGCGACGCAAAGTACCATCGACCAGCTTTGCTGAAGGCAGGCTGGCGACGAACTTCGTTGCTCGTGTCAGCATCAGCAAACCGCGACTACGGCATTCGCTCTTCTGAACGAACAGCAGTCGGCTGCCTTGTTGTGTGAAGTCGTAAAGGCCAGATAGGAAGCCAGGCTAGAAATTTTTCTTCGCATGCAAATGTATGGGCGTTACTCATCTTAGTGTTTATATTGCCTTTGGTTCTATGAAGCCACAGATCGGGGAAGAATTTATTCTCCAGGAAAACGCTCCTTGCCACAAGGCGAAAATTATTACCACATTTTTAAAAAAAAGTTGGGGTGGAAACACTAGATCCTGGACAACTGAAAGTCCAAATTTGATCATTATTGAACCGCCGATCTGAGTAACACAAGGGACGAAACGATCACTGTGGTCACATAAAAGTAGAAAAGGATTCCATTAAGATTCAAAGATTTTTTGGGCTAAGTTTTGTCCGAGTTGCTTCAAACTTATTTTGAAAGCTCTACATACGCGTTTAACGAAAAAGTTTTTCAGCGATTTGGGAAATTCCACCCGCAACAGTGGTAAATTGGCGGAAAACAATTATATGAAAGTTATTTGCTTTCCGTCCGATCAGTTTCAAAATTATTTTGAAAGCATTTTGAAAAAAAGTATTTCATACGTCCACGGGCAAGGCCGGGTTATACCCGTTAGTATAAATATATATACAGTACGACCTCGCTCAACGCAACCCTCGTTACACGCAACTCCTCGATTATTGCAGCACCCGATTTCTTAACATTGTAGAAACAGCTGCTCAGAAAAGTATAAAAGTAAAAAAGTACAGACCACAATTTCTCAATTTTTCAAAAAATTAATAAAGTAAAATGAAATCCATGCTTTGAACACAGAACTATTCGATTTTCTTTAATTTTAATGGTTAGCAAAGGCATCTCCTTTTGGAAATAGGTCTCGTGGCCAACAGAAAATGTTCCCTCGGTTTTTGCAACCACCTCAGATTTCGCAATTGGTCAAATTTTAATAGGTTGCGTTGAGCGAGGTCGTACTGTTTGAACCATATTTCATAGTAAATACACTAAACTTGGTGTTTCGGTTCTGGTATAGTATGTACTTATTTAAAATTTCACTTTTTAAATACCTTCCGCTTTGCCCCACTCACTTTCAATATCTATGCCTTTAATAATGTCATAAAGTTTGGACTATAAACTTCGGTACTATTTAAGAATACATTTCCCATAGTAAAATGCTGACAGCTGAGATAGCTGTATGTTCACTCTTTGCACAATGGGTGGCAAGTGTTGTTTTGTAGGATTATTGTTTCATTATTGTTTCTTAATGTGCGATTTACGTTAAAATGTCGGTTTTTTTTTTAAATATATATAACAGGCAAAAGGCAACAATTAAACACCTTGAAGTATATACATAGGACGTATTTAGGCGCTTTTATCGTCTGCCCATATTTAGGAACGTGTGGCAGAACGTAGAAGAGCTAGAGACTTGAAATTTTGAACTTAGGTCCTCTTAGTGCCCGCGTAGAACGTGTTTGTTTCCGCCTGCTTAACACTAGTCATAAATTTTGAAATGTAGCTTCTAGAATAGAATAAGCAAATCAAGTATCGTGTCATTTTATGGATAACACTACCCCCTCCTCCATCGGTGCTCTTTGCATGTGCTGCTATTTAAGTGGTTTTTTTTACGTTAACTCAAGTCATGTTATGGCTGAGGTATGAGGCGATGGCAAGCCAGCGCTTATTGCGAGGTGCATTTGGTGTTGAGTATTCCCTAGTCAGGCGAAAGCTGGAGTCTTTCTAATTAGTGCTCGTTTGAATATTTGTGTGTTGAACATAAAAACGTGTGCAGTTTACAATTAAATCAACTTAATGCGTATTTAATCGAAACATCATTTAATATAGTCGCCTCTGCTCGACAAGCATATAATTTATTTTCATTGAGAAAAAAAAACCGATTGACAGCGGCACATAATACAATACAATCGCAATTGCAACCCTGTTGATATAATTCAATAAATACGACTATTAATGTGTGTGCGCACACGCTTACACAGGTTCTTGCAATTTGCGGTAGCTGCCGCAAACACGTCGTTTATTAAGTTGATTTATAGCTTTGAGGTAGTAGCGGGGAGGTGGCGTTAGCTATAAGATTAAAGATACTTGCTTGAACACGGAGCAAGTTAACGATTATCGAAAACAAATTCGTACTGCGCGAGATCTAGACGGACCTATGTTCAATTCTAATTATCTAGCTCATAGATTCTGAGATCCTTACGTTCATACATGACGGACGGAGAGTCAGACGGATATGGGTAGATCGACGCGGCTATTGATGCTTATCAAGAATATATGTATATACTTTGTCATTTGCACAAACACATTGCCCTTGCCTGCATAAATATGGTTGGTTATAATTTATGAAACCGGAGCAGCCGAATATAGATTTGACGAAAACGATTCTTAGGCAAATTATAGGTGCCAGTTTTCGTAATCAGTACCGCCAAAGTTAAAGCATCGAATGAATAATGTTGAAAATGTAAGAGGTACCAAAGTTGTTTGAGTAATTCGCACCACCTTCCAACAGATAATAAAATGCTATATATATATATATATATATATATATATATATATATATATATGTATATAGATAAAAGATTGGATTGGTTATAGTTTTCAACAAATTTTAACAACGATTTCATAGCTTTGCGGGTACAACACATATAATAACAAATCTTCCGCTTTTAATTTTACACTTTAGCGACGAGGGAAACTGCAGTTCTAGTTCCGACAATGAAGGCAAACATTCAATAACAGCATCTGATCTAGAAGGTCCTTGCTGTGCGCCTATACGCGCGCCGCCCAGTTCGCCTGAGATCATGCATGAGATTCGTAAGGTAAGTGTGGCTCACATATATTTTGTTAAAAACACGGCTCACAGCACAACCGATACGTTCGCCCACTGCCAATAGTTTCGTGTACGCCGAATGCACAAGGTGATGCATGTTTTGGACCAAATATACTTCTCACCTGTTCTTCAGAGGAAATTCAAGGCACTGGCGCGGCTTAAGCGTCGCCGCCACAAATTGGGATGCAAGATGGTCTGTCCCAGGCGTGCGACTGGTGGTGGAGGTGGACAAATTTCACCGCGCGGTAATGTCGAGAGACTTGTGAACGGCGAAACGCCAGATCGCGCTCAGATAACGATCAAGACGCCACGCCAGTCGCCTGACTCCGAAAGTTCTGAGAGCAACGGATCTCAGTCCTCAGATTTGTTGACGGATGCTAGCAACGATGTCAATCAGACTGGTAAACAGTCTTCCCGTAAGCGCAGTAAAAAAAAGAAACACCTGTCCACAGAAAAGTGCAAGACTAAAGCATTAAACCGCAAGATGCGTATCGACCGCAATTTGCGACTTTGGCTGGCCAACCGACGTATTTTTATTTTTCGCCGAAAAAAGGTACATTTAAGAACAACAGTCCACCTCACAATACTACAACGAATATTTCTTCGGCATGCCGAAGCCTACAGTTGCTTGCATTATGTTGCGCTTACTGCTCTAGTTTCCATTTGTTTTGAAAGCAAGAAGTTATTGTGAATCTAAAGCAAACATAAATAGTAAGAGCAATATCAAACCAAATAACCATAAATATCTAATAAACATATTAACACAATATACAATGTACATACTGTACTAACAAATTGCTGTAACTTAATAGCTTACTGCCAATATAAAATATATATAACTTTTGAAGGGTACACGCGTGTTTCCTATATTTCAGAATCGCCGGCAGCGTGTTCGAAGTAAGCCTGTTAAAAAGCGCGGCGAATTGGTGCGCACTGCGCTTGATTTGCCAACGACTGATCCGGGATCTGATTTGCATTTTTCTACAGACGATGAGGAACTTTTCTCAGCTGGTAACGTTACATTTGGAGCAGTGGCTCCACTTCGTCACACTCTACTCCAGAGCGAGTTGCAGCGCCGCTATATCGAAGAAATTGGTGACTTGGTTGTCCAAAAACCGAAGTCTGGTTACATGCCACCAGAATTGATCGTGACAACACCCTCCAAGAGCACCGGGCCAGGCGGAGTTAAAAGGTTAGACGTCTACAAACTGACGCCTAGTACAGCGCCCGAGCAGCAAGGCAGTCAGCACAGCCAGACTAATGCCACAGGTGCTCGACGTACATATTCCTGGCACAATCTCAACCAAGATAGCAGCCGTGTTAGGCCCAACTTTATCAACGAATCAAAGCCAGCTGTGAGGATTCATAAGACACCACCGCGACGGTAAGTGCTACAATTTCAAGTACCCTTAATTACCTAAGCCTATTCTTACTGCAGCAGTGTACACAGCAACCTAATCTCACTTGGCCCTCAAAGACATGGCACTGAAAGTCATGCTAACGACCTGCATGTAAAACTCTCAATGAAACGAAAAATTTGGACAGGAGCGCATGGCGACCCCGACGTCCGACCGTTTGCTTGGTACAAAGGACAGGCCAAGACAAATGCTCACATGGCAACCGTAATGGCTACGGCAGCAGCGACTGCAGCGCTTCGGGGCTCTGGAGGAGGCAACAAGGAACCGTTGACATCGGCAGCGGGATCGTCAACAACTACAGCAACTGTGCCACCCCCCTATGTAGGGGCGCCGCGCAGATCCCGCAAATTGGAGCAGGTGGATTTATTTAAGTAAGTTAGAGAGTGTATTTCAGTTTCCCGAAAAATGTAAACATACCTTTTGTAGCGCATGTTCACAAAAACTATTACTCTGGCAGCAAGAGCATAAGAAAATACAGCCGTCAAACACACGCCTAATGGGCGGGACTAGCGCCAAGCTTGAGTATCCGCAGATCCCCATACGCGTTTGCAAACCAAGCAAGAGCACCAGAACAGCTAGTGGTAACGCTATCAATGTATCTGGCGTAGCTGGTAAGAGTAAGCGCAAATCCAGTATGATTAAAATTGCTGAGACGACGCAGCTGGTTACAAGCTTTTCGCGGACTCATAGCAGTGCTAGAGGCTCCGTCAACTTTGCTGTACAGAAACATCAACAAATGACTCAGATGCAACGCCTGATTTTGAAAACTCAACCAGGCAGCGGTACAGAACACGCTCAAACAGCATCTGTCAGTGGAATGCAACACTCTGCTGGACGCACATCTAACAAGTTCAAGGCTAGTGGCCTAGTCGTCACGGCGGTCCAGCAGGATTCAGGAGGTGGTGGTGGGGTTTCGAGACGAATGCGTCATGCTGGTGGGTCGCTTATAAAGAGTGGCAGCAGCGGAATCGCCACTGGCGCACACAACATGCTACAATATCGCAATACTAACACATTGCCAGCAAACAAATCTGTTGCAGGGATTTCCCTAGACACAGTCAGCCTTGTACGGAAGGTTAAAACGAAGTTGAAAAAGCGAAAGTCCCGCACGGTAGCGAATGTTGCTACCAAGTGAAAGATAGCTGAAGCAGTGAGATTCCCGGACATTCCTCGACTCCATAACCGACAACATCCCCTTATCAAAATCTTTCATGTATTTGTATGTGAATTTGTTTTTAAACCAAATTTTAGTCAAATTTGAATTTGTTAAGGAAATAATGCACAACGATGTGTGCAATTTTGACCAATTAGGAAAATGTGAAAACATAAATGTAGCAAAATTTATGGGGTACTAAAATTCCCCTAAGTATAGGCATTGCGTATAATATCCATATTTTGTATCAAGTATTGAATATTCAATGATTAATTTTTGGCCGCCATTTCTTAAAAATTTCGCAATAAAAATTAATGTTTTGATCTAACAGTTTGTTATTGGAATCTCGGATAGGGAATTTAATTTAGATTAATATAATGCCTAAAATGACAATTACTTGAAAACTCAGCAGCTGTTTTATCAAGCAATGCGGTTTTGACACAAATCTAAGCTCAAATGGTCACAGAATAGGCAAGCAATAGAGATTGGAAAACTAGGGTTTGATCTTTTTACATACCCTGTTCGCCCCGTATCGATTTATACAAGATTCTGTTTTAAATGGTGCGTAACTTAAATTTAATTCAATTTAGGTAAATATAAAGTGATAGTAAACAAAATGCCTAAAAATGACGGTGCGCTCTCACCGTGCTGATTACAGATGTTTATATCGGACCTATATTTCGATAAGAACTACAAACACATAGTGCGTTCTTACTATGGATGCATCTACATTCACATCCAAAATCAGTAAGAGGGGAAACGCAGGTGTTTGATATTAGCGATATCTTTATAATGTTGTGACACTAACTATACAATGCATAGACATGTCAAACAGCGGAATAATCGGATACCGATAAATCGTCAATGACTGAGCCCCATGGGTGTCCGCGACCATTTTAGTGTGCCCAGACAAAGTAAGACTGCTGAGAGTGGCAGCCGAACGCCGGCCTCGAAAGCCGAACGTTCAGTATGAAGCCGCATCTCGCTCAGCGCACAACGTCGCTGCGGCTGATGCTATTTCTTAATATATGTATGTTAGTTGTAAATCCTTACAGCCCAAATACATATGTGTGTATGCATGTCCAGAGTTTGCCTTGCTCCCACTCATTGCTGTGCGCGCTTGTGTGCATCTCTTTCTCTCTGCATAGCTTCTCAAAAACCCCGAGATCTACAAACATACATATGTTTGTGTACGTGTGTGCGCACAAGTAGATCACGGCGTTTGTCGCGAGTCAGAGATATTTTCTTCAATTGTGTGTCATTTGTGCCCGTGGTAGCAAAAGGCACACACATTGAAATGCTCTATCATGTATTTCTTGGTCCAGTCAGGCATAATGAGAAGAATCTGATATATTTATATTCATTAAAAACTTAAATGACCTAAATGATATATTTATATATTATATATTAATTATTTTGTTTACTGTGGGGACCAATTTTGGGATGTAAGGAATTAAAAACTAACATACATATATTATGAAAAGGCATCAGCTGCAGCGACGTTGTGCGCTGAGCGAGATGCGGCTTCATATTTAACGATCGGCTTTCAAGGCCGGCGTTCGGCTGCCACTCTCAGCAGTCTTACTTTGTCTGGGCACACTAAAATGGTCGCGGACACCCATGGGGCTCAGTCGTTGACGATTTATCGGTATCCGATTATTCCGCTGTTTGACATGTCTATGCATTGTATAGTTAGTGGTAGTGAGCTGTTAAGTATATATGCAACAATTTCTTGCTACTTTGCCGATCAAATTTTATGGTTAAATTGTGGCCTGCTAGTGACTTAATAGCTCATTACATTATAAATATATTTGTATATAGATATACAAATAGATAACTAACCGTAAAGAGCAAACATATGGATAATGGTATGGTATTTTATAAATTATATATATCTGGATGGAAATGGTCAAATTGAAAGTCCGCGATGCACTGGTGGCCACTGATGACCGCAGCCAGATGCACTTGCGTATATATAAGTAAACACATCCAGCCAGCTATAAGTCAACAGCCTGTTAAATATGCATAATAATAATAATATTTTTGTTAATGATCTATCATTAAACGCCGCATGTGCGACTACAACAATACTGACGCGCGTCAGAAACAATACTGTCTACAGCGTTCCCATGCACTGGCTGTCGGAAATACGATTTGTTTGGACTAAATGCTAGATCAGCGAATGTCGGTCACAGGACTAGCTCTTCTTTAAGATCATGTTGGTACTTAGCTTTATTTTAATTTAAACAATTGTTACGAACTTGCTTATTTACTTTTGTGTCGCGCCGGGTGGCGCGCAGCAACATCACCATCGACTCTGCTTCACATACCATCTGTAGCGAACGGGCTTATACAATACTACAGCAAAACGAAATACAACAATACAAAACGAAATCGAACAATTAGCCTGTGTTACGATGTGTTTGTTCTCCCCCAGATTATAAGAAGTGAAAAATTATAGTTTTTTTTAATTATTAGCGAAAATTTGTTGGTGGCTTAAAAAGAAATAGAAATTAGTGCGCTTCGTACTGATCAGTTTTTATAATTCGACAACTGACAACTATAAACTTCTTAAGGCTTAATTAAGCTACGGCGGCAAAGCGAGGCGAATTCGCTCCCAGAGCAAGGGACAAATCTATATTGCGCTCTCCCTCCGCCCTAAACCTAACTTACACTAGACATCAACTTTTCAATCAATTTAATTATTCAATCCGCAGATCATCGCCAACACCGGCCACTATGAAGCGCTTGGGGCTTCATTTGTCTGGCAGCCGTGCCAACTTGTGGATCGGCTGTTTGAAAGGTCCGCCACCGTGCTCAGTTCTGCCACCCTAACGATGCCGTCCTCTCTTGCACGCACCGCCGTCACTCTGCCGATCAATCACTGCTAGGGCTAGCAGTATGAGAACTTACTCCTTTGACTATCGCCGCGGTATAAACGCAAATTTGCTTCTGCTTTTTGATGCCGATTTGCGAATCGCGCCGCCTCTTCCTCGATTCGAGCTGGCAACTCACGCGTATAGACGGTCTGTGGGTCTCTTCGACGGCCGACGAACCTTTAAAAAGCCATTAAAAATTTATTAGTAGATAAGTCAGATACTAGTTTTAAGTGAACCGCTGACGAAAGACCGTTTATGAGCCAAAGTCGTTCACCAAGATGACTTACGATGGTTCTTAGGCCAGAATGACAATTCGTCAAATGCACGTATCTAAAAAAACTTCTAGCGAAGTGCGAGCTTATATTCAAAACGAAGCGAAAGATTGGCATCATACGAAAGAAGAGCATTTGCAAGTAGTCCCCCTACTCCTAACAACGGAAAAGAGCAATTATACTCAATTTAAATGGATTGAGACGTTGCAGGCGACGACACATGCATGTGCCTTTTCGAACTTTATCTATGTCATCTTTAAATTCAACTCGTGGGATGACGTCAACTCTCCTCTTCTTTCCTTTCGAGCGCCGTAGGGATACTCTTCAATTGTACTGCTCGATTTTTACATTTTTAAATAAAAACGTACTTCTAAGGTTCGTATGACATCTGTCATCAGATGGTCCTTAAAAAACGAAGACTCATCGAACCACATCGATGAAAGTAACTCGTTAACAGCAAACCCTCTCGAGACGATATCAGCTGGGTTTTGCTTTGTAGGTACATGGCGCCATTCAGCGTTCTCTGTCCACTCTTGGATTTCAGCCACTCGATTCGACACAAATGTTGCCAAAGACGAAGGATATGACCGAATCCAATAAAGCGACTTCGGAATCAGACCAATGAACCGACCGGTTATCTTATGAGATTTGTGATTCGATGACAATAATTCGCGAGAAGGTGACGCTCGCACAACTCAAGGTGCGAAGGGTCTTCGTCTTGGGGGAGGCTACTTTAGATTTGGATCTCAAGAACGAAATACGGCAACCTTCTGCAGTATGGCTGCGTATATATACGTGTGCGCCAAACCCTCTTATTGAAGAATCGGCGAAACCATGTATCTAGATCGGTGAAGTTGGCTCTGTAAACACATATCGGGGTATTTTAATTCGTTGCAACTGAATCAATTTTGATATCAAATGCTGCTTAGGAGATTTCGAAAACAATTTGATTAATTCGAAACCTGCGCTTTGAAGTATTTGCGACACTTGAAACTTAGTCGTCTGAAGGTTCTGTACGCATGCAGCACCAGTAAATTATCGACATTAAAGTCATGCCTGATAACGTCAGCCGCTTTAGGGTGTGATGACTCGCTCATCTCAGTGTTTAAGTGTTTACAGCGCAGTGCCGTAAGTCACAGTGTTTAACCTAAAGGACCCCAAAGAGTCAGATGGGTTCTTTTTCCACAATCTCGAATCTGTTTCATGCACCATGACCTGCCTATACATCTTGTTGATGTCAGCTGTCAATGCTTATTTGTGGAGTCTAAATTGAAGCAGAGTCAAAATAGCTCCTTTGAATGGTCTTTCTAACCATAAGAATGTCGTTCAACGCAATTTGTGACAATGTCCGACAGGTCGCGTCGAAAACAAGCATAACTTCGTCGATGTGCTTCGTGGTCTTAAAACAAACAGATGCGGAATGAAGTAGTGTGAAGTACTTGGAATCTGATAATCTACTTCAGAAATGTGACCCAATGTTAAAAATTCTTGCATGAATTTTAAGTACATACGCTTAAGCTCGGAATCTCGGGACAAGCGTCTTTCAAACGTCAAAAAACGCCGCTTAGAATCCTCGAAGGAGTTACCAAACTGATTGGGGTCTGATATAAATGGCAGTCTTACTTTAAATCGACCTTAAATCCAAATCTTTAAAGTGGCTCTCACACATTTTTGGCTGAAGGCATCTCTTCCAATGACCAAGATTTCTGCAACAACCCAGCCAACAAGAGTCTTCTGCAGAGTCGGAAAATTCGATTCTTGTTTAATCTGACCGACAGAGAGAAGTTCGAAGAACTTCTCAGCTCCGATGAGCATGTCGATCTTCTGTGGCTTGTGAAAGTATGGCTCAGCCAATCGCAAGTTCAGGGATTTTCCCACCACTGACATTTACCGTATGGTCAGGCTGGTAACCAGAAATGGTCTTCAAGATCCACAGATCTAACAAGAACTCGCTGCAATTGACTCGCGACTCCACCACTGTATGAATATTCTTTTTAACTTAAGTGTTGCATTGAGCAATCCCAAGTAAACTGATACTAGTCTTTTCTTTACGCAGCTGCAATCGTTGTGCTAGTTCGTCTGTTAAAAAATTAATTTGTGTACCAGGATCGAGTGAAGCTCAGTCAAAACGAGTTCGGCACTTCTCGTTTTGATGCTAACGACTGCTGAGAATTTCGTTAGAAATCTTTTTGTCATCACTTTTTGACAGGAGCGAGCCATAGATGGCGGAGAGAGTATCAATTATAGATCTCAATGATGCAGCAGAGGGTTGCGTTATTTTTGGCAGGCTTAATAAAGCCGAAATATTTTTATTGAATGTTAGACATTCATTGTCGTATACTTTCTTTAGACTGTCTAATGCTTTTAAATAATTGTTATCGGTGACTTGAAGCGCCCTTATCATGAGATCAGATGATTGAATATCTCTATACTCGGAATCGCATGATCGTTATCGATAGATCAAGCTTATACAATTTTTTTTTCCACTAAGCTTGGGAGGTG